CGACCCCACGGCCGATTTCCTGGGAGGCAAACGTCGTAAGAAGATTGTTGGCGTCCCGGATACGCCGCAGGAGGTGCTGGATATTACGCGCACGAAAGTGAATGGGTATCTCAAGGGGGAGAGTGTCCCGTTGAGTGTCGAGGGCTATGTTGATGCGCTTATTGCTATGGCGGTGGATCCGATGAATTTGGCGAGTATGTATATTGGGTGGTGTGCTTTCTTCTAGTGGTGTTGTGTTTCGTTTCAAAAGTCGGGGTGTATGTCAGTATCGTTACTTCGTTTCATACTAGATAGAAGTTAGCAAATCTGTATCTTCATTACATCGCATACCTTTTCATCATGCATAAAGCCATTAGCACCCCATTTCCACATCCTTCAGACAAGACTCCGTGCATATACAATTGGCATTACAATACGTAATTGTAAAATAAAGGTAGGTACTCCCATTCTCTTTGGAACCTGGATAAAAAAAAAGAGACCAACGCCTGTAACAAAACACTCGTTAAGAAAAGAGGTTGATGCTACCCAAAAGGGACTCGCTCGAGCGGATATTCAGTCGTGTAAGCATCGTCTTCGTGCGATCGTCTCTTCCGTACCCTCGGACCCAAGCTTGCTCTTTGCTTCCATCAGATCAAAGCCGTAGCATGTCTGTCCCTCGCATCCATAGCATGACCACTGCCCCCTCATGTGCCTGACAATCTCAGTCCAAAATGTCCGTCTCCTCTTACTCCCTCTCTCTCCCCGAGTACTCCTCCTTTCTAGCAGCACTTCCCGCCCATACCCGCGTTCCCGTCACCTTGCCCACCAACATCGACCTTGGGAGCGGCGGTCTGATCCGTCCTGGCGGTATCGATAAGGCGCTTCTTGATGTCGCCGGCGAGACTGTAAAACGCCTGGTCGACGTTGATGTTGCTCTTGGCCGAGACCTCGAGGAAGGGGATGCCGAGTTCGTCGGCGAGGGCCTGGCCCTGTTCTGTGGAGACGGCGCGCTTCTCTTCCCAGTCGCACTTGTTGCCGATGAGGATCTTGTTGACGCCTTCGGTGGCGTGTTGCTCGACGTTGGAGAACCATGTGCGGATGTCTGGTTACAGAGTTAGTGGGTTCTTTATTGAGGACTTCATGCTTCCTGAGCTGGGATGGCAGAAGGGTGTGTATATGTGTGGAGCGGGAACGTACTGTTGAAGCTCCTTTCATCCGTGACGTCGTAAACTAGCAGGATACCCATGGCACCTCTGTAGTACGCCGTGGTAATGGTCCGGAAGCGCTCTTGGCCAGCGGTATCCCATATCTGCAGCTTCACGCGCTTGCCGTCGAGCTCGATGGTGCGGATCTTGAAGTCAATGCCGATGGTGGTGATGAACGAGGGCGTGAACGAGTCTTCGCTGAAGCGCAGCAGGCAGCACGATTTGCCTACGCCCGAGTCGCCTATGAGGAGTAGTTTGATCTACGCGGGGGAGGTTGTTAGTGTGGGTCTGTGTATAGGCGGTGGAGGGGCGTTCAGGGTCCAGCATGTATGCGGAAGCTGGGCAGGCGCATGTCAGAAACAGGCATAGGGCGAAGCTTACGAGAAAGTCATAATTCCTGGAGCCAGCCATCTTGATATAGAGTCGTGGGGTGCGTTATCGAGCGGAGGTGGTTGCGGAGTTGGCGCCCGCCGGTTTGGGGTGTGCGGTGGAGCTGGCGGTGGTTGCGTGGTTGCGGAAGAATGGCGGTGATAGACTCGAGCCTGATGATATGTTGTATGCGTGGGAACAGGCGGGCTTGGGGTGAATGTTGCTGTGTGGTTAACAGCAGGCAGCGAAGTAAACGGCGTGGGAGCGAGTTCACAGGTGCTGGCCAACGTTGGACGTTAGCGCCAATAGTCCGCACGGGCTTCACCACCTCCGTCACTGCAGCTGTCGTCTGCGAGTGACGAGCGGCGGCTGGCTTGGTGGCAACTGCGCATCTGCCTTGACTCGGCTGTCACTACCGGCATCACGACCCAGCACTCGAGACACAGTCATGTGCTGGCGTTAACATACGGAAGAGCCTCATTTTCTAGGTTTTGTTTTGGCCTCGGTACCCACGCGATACTTGTTGAGCTAGTCTTGGATGGTAGACATCTGATCTGTCATGTTCCGCTTACATTTACGAGAACACGGTTCCGAATTACAAGCTTCTTCGTATGTTTGTATTGAAGTGGGTATGTACGCTGATCATAAATGCGCTGTGACTGGATCATCCCAGTTGCAAAGACGCCTCCTCAAGTGAACCATTTTGAGTACGCCCACCTAATGCGCTCAACTACTTTTTGCTGTCGCTGCAGCCCACTCCTCACGTCAACAAGCTCATCTATCTCCACCAAGAAGTCGTGGAAGATGCGTCGTGGCAGGATGCCGCTCGCAGCCTGTCGCAGGAGATGCACTTCGCAGAGGAGGAGACCGTGGTCCTTGTAGGAAATTTCGCCGTCTTCTGTGGGTGTTGCGCTGGTAAGGATGCGGTCGATGTTGCGCAAAATGAGCAGCATGCGGCCTTGCCTCGCCCACATCTGTACGCCTTTGCGGCTGCTGAAGACGCCTCGGAGGTATCGGTAGACGCCGATACTGACGAGAACACCAGGCGTCAGACCGATGAAGCCAAAGAGCAACTCCTGGCTCTTGAGAATGCTGTCAATACCGCTCATCGCGACTTCCACATCGACCTTGGTCTTCTGCACCTGAATGAGCAGTGCGCTAGCTAGGTTACCAACTATCGCACCCTTGACCGGACTTTGGATGTCCTTTTCGTAAGATCTCAAGACCGTGGTCAGATCGCCTTCGCGGACCTTCGCTCTGATATCGGCAATTTGAGTCTCGTTCAAGGCGGGGCCTTCAGGGTTCTTCACCGCAAAGTCAATGACCATGCGCTCAAGGCTTGCACGGTCAGACTCCAAGCTTCGTTTGCTCATGATGGAAACCTCGCTATCTTCGTTGTGGCGGATGGTACCAATGATTCTCATTGCAGGCTCCACGACCCAATTTGTCCAAAAGTCGATTACAGTCTGGCCTAGTTCGCGTACCCAGGCCAAAATCTCTTCTTTTCGGTTGACAAATATACGCAGGATAGTGGTCGAGGATACGAGGAGCATGGTGGCAGGTAGCCAGTACCGGATGAGGATAGATGGACGTCCGTTCTCCTTGACGACAGCGTTGAAGTCTGAGGTGTAGGCAGGCAATGCTTCCTGGAGCAGATATTGCAGTCGCTCTGCGACATCGGCCGGCTTAAGCGTGGTTGCCGTTCGTTCTCCGGTGGGTTCGTGCAGCGAGTAGAGTTGGTCATCTTGAGTAATGCCAGCAACAGAGTCGTCAAACTTATTAACGGATATCTCTGCAGCGTTCACGCTTTGGATGACGGCGTCCATCAGGGCGATGTTCTTAGCCATGACGCTCTTCCATCTATGTCCGCTTTGTGCGCCGAGCAGTGGCGGGGATTGGGTGCCATCGTCGTGTACACTGGGATGGTCAGCAGTCGCTCACGGTCTTTGCGGATGTTTGGTAGCATACCTCTCATTACCCAGCCCTTCGCCTAGAAGCACACCGAGCGCGTTCGCATTGATGAGTCGTATCTTCCTCAACGCTGCGCGCTTCCTTCTGCCTTCGTTCCTGACCAGCGCCAACGGGCTCACGACCCTTCGCTGGATGTTGGCAATGCTGCGCTCTTGCACCGCATCCTTAACAAGGCCGTAAAATTGGCTCCACCCATCAGCCAATTGTCCGCCCCTCGACCGCACATCGCGATATATCTCCTGCGACCATTTCCACACCCGAACGGGTGATGTTTGTATCGAGTATAGCCCAGCGAATCGGTAGGTGGAGAGGATGTCGTCCCAGTACCACAGGTCGTCTTCCAACGGGATAGTCTGTTCCAATATCGTATTCAGGACCTGTCCATATACCTGCGTCGTCGCCTTGCTGACTAGCAGCCATTCCAGTTCATGTTCGTAGCTCGCATCCTCGTAGCTGCTGGCGATGTTGGCACGCTGCAGCGTCTCGGATATGCGTGCGATGGAGACAAGGCTGTGTTTGGATGACGCGGTCGTGGAGAGGGACTTGATGAGGTACTGCAGGTGCGCGATTCGTGTCGTCTTGGTGGGGTCGTGGGCTTCCTCGGCGGTGATGGAGAAGCTGCCTTGTCGTGTCGCCGACAGCTGCAGCCGGTCGAGCTGGCTGTCAATTCGACGCACTTGGCTGATACAGTATTAGCTATACCGGGCTATATCAATTGAATGCGCCAACTTACTCAACCACGAAAGACATGGCTACCGGCGCGTGGGCTCTCACATGGAGGATGCGGCCTGATTATTTTGGTACGAGGGGATCTGGAGATCTGAACCGGGATGACGCGCCCCCACCCGCCGCCAATGACGTTCTAGGCCTGCCATCAATCCATCACCCCCAGTTGCACGCAGTTTCCACGGCCTGTCACATGTTTCCTTCTCTTTAACACAGAGACGAGCCAGCTACAAAATGCCATATTTGTACGTGACATGCTCCGACGTCTACCACACGGTCAACCTAAGTAAATCTTCTCATCCGAACACACGAACACATAAACGCCTTCTAAGGAATCAAGCTAATGCAATTGGACTTAGAGACTAAATTGGTATTTGATTGTGTTTCACACGCCATTCCCTTATCCGATGCCCAGCACTCATTCTAACGATGGTGCCTTCTACCACGAGCAACCCCGTCCAACAGTGAATCTGCCATCGCTCGCAGATTTCTCTATGACGTCTCAGAAACTCTTCTATAACAACAAACAACTATAGCCAGACTATTGAGCGGCTGTCACCAGACCTGGTCGCTGGACGCTTCCGACCGACCGTGCCACAATGCACTCGCAGCAACACCACCCCGAACAGGAAACTCGTCTCCGACCCAAGAACCAGTCTAGCGGTCTCCCCTAAAAGCAAACAAAGGCACAAAAAAACGGCGTCCATCCAATTTCCACAGCCTGTCGGGTTCGAAACAGTGGTAGAGGTGCTAGCTAGCGACGCGAGCGCTCATTCGGACCGAGGGCTGATCTGCGACATCGTCCAAATCCGATTCCATGGAACGCAATTGCAAAGCGCTTGCCTCGTCGTCGGAGAGACGGGCGCTCATTGGCTCCAGCACGGGACTTGCTGAACGGGAGAGATCAACTTGCGGCACAGTCAATCTGATACCGTTTGGCTGGTCAGGGGCTAGCAGGGTCCCCTCGTCCACAAGCGAGTCGCGCTTTCTGGGGAGCTTCTGGCGCATGCCTAGTTCGGAGCCTACGCGCTCGATGCTCTTGAAGTACTGAGGGTGTTAGATGAGAACTACAAGAAAAGGGTGTCGATGGGCGTACCTTAACGGTCTTGACTTGCAGCTCTAGGGTGGCGTCTTCGTCGACAACGATCATCGGGTGCGGGTGCATCTGAAGACTGGACAGCGTCCACATGTGGTTCACGCCGCCTTCGATGCACCGCTGAAGAGCTAGGGCCTTGTGTGCGCCTGTGATGATGATCACAACTTCGCGCGCCTGAGGAACGTTAGACTCTGTTGATGAACATGTTGGTATGACTTACATCAAGGACAGTCTGCACGCCCACGGTCAACGCCATCTTCGGCACCTGATCGAGGTTGTTTCCGAAGAACCTTGAGTTGGCCAGAATGGTATCGTATGCAAGAGTCTTCACGCGGGTCCGAGACTTGAGGCTGGAACCAGGCTCGTTGAAGGCAATGTGTCCATCTGGCCCGATGCCGCCGAGGAACAGCTCGATGCCACCAGCACGTTGGATCTTCTCTTCGTAGTCATGGCATTCGACTTCCAGGTCAGGTGCATTCCCGTTGAGGATGTTGATGTTCTCGGGTTTCACGTCGACATGGGAGAAGAAGTGCTTATACATAAAGCTGTGGTAGCTCTCGGGGTGATCACGCGGGATGCCGACATACTCGTCCTGATTGGGTCAGCATCACTCTATATCACGCTGCTGTGAGACATTGGACCCAAGGGTGCGGCGCCATATGCAGGGCGGTAGTTCGTACCATATTAAACGTGACCACATTGCGGAAGGAGACTTGGCCCGCTTTGTGGCGCTGTACAAGATGCTCGTAGATCAGGACAGGGCTGCTCCCAGTAGGCAGACCTAAGACAAAGGGTCTCTCTGGCGTTGGGGCAAAGGTGTTGATGCGCTCTATGCTGCGGCGTTAGTCGATATTAAGACACAACGAAGGAGCGAGGAATGCACCAATGACATAGTCGGCGATGTATTGGGACGCAGCCCTCGGATCGTCTCGAATGATTAGCCGCCTAGAAGCGGTAAGCCGGGTGTCAGAAAACAAAGGTGTGCATGCTCATACATGATGTATGTATCGTTTGTGCTACTTGCAAGGAATGTGTGCGGAGTGAGGGGTCCAAGGTCATTCCTGCAGCGGGATGAGGGCGATTTCTATGAGGACTTGAACAGCTTCACGTCATTCTGGGGCAAGGTAGGATTGTGAGCTCGATCATCATCCAACGTCTCTCCATCGAAATGACAACGGCCAAACTTTCCGCATCTGAACACGTTCTCTGCAGCGCTCTCTGTATCGGTCCGCATGGTCGCGGTGCGTCATGCAATGGACGGTTGAGGGTGAACGTAGTGGTACAACGCGCCTATCTGCACCACCTTAGGCCGTGGACCCCCGTTCACTGCCATGTGCAATGTTACAGGAGCATGGCGGGGCGTGGTCATCACCGTCGCGTGTGATAGCAGTGGGAACTGAGCCGGACGTGGGCCGCAAACTAGCCGTCACGGGCAGCCAGCAACGAACATCACGATAGCAGGCGTCACTGATAAGGCCTTGGTGCTGATGGAGTCGCAAAAGGACAATGTTACATTTCTGACTCGGGTGGTGGCGGGCGGAGAGCGTTGCACTTGTGGCTCTAGTGGGCGTCTTCTAGCTCGCGCAGCCCACTCAGCCCAGGACCGGGGGCTCAACCAACAATGTGGTCGCAGGCGCATGCAGATCCATGCATCGTCGATAAGCAGGCCTGCAACGCCCCGCTTTGACCTTCGATGGCTGTCCCGAGAACCACTGACGACGGCCGTCCGGGCACCTGTAGCCGGCGCTCAAGGCTGCTGACGGCGTTGTACATACGGCTGGCGCTGCGGAACACGGATGCTTGTTGCCCTTTGTGCAGCGTCAGCCTGCGCCAGCGAATCCTTGACCGACGGCTGTCACCTTTGTGTGGGCTTGCAGTCGTTTATCTCTTTGTGGAGGCCAGGCTGTGTCGCGTGCTGTGTCCGCCTCGCTACCCCGATGCAGGTTGGCTGGGGAGATTTGGTCGTGAATGGACCGTGTGAGGACCCTAGCTGACGGTCTGCTTAAAACTGACTGCCCCTCGCCTTCACCTTCGTATCCAAACCCTCGTTTAATTATAGTCTGCTGCTACCGTCGTGTGGTCTGAGCGCGAGCATCTAGTATCTTTATTGTAGCCTGTCTGCTCTCACCTTCTGCATCAACGACGACGTGCACATCTCCGTCTGTCGCAAGGCTCAACTCCGGATCGCGCGCTAATCGCCGGCACAACACCCACACTCACGGGCATCAACATGGCGACCAACGAGGAAAAACAGCCTCCGCATGCGGTCAACTCGCCAGAGCACTCATTGACGGACACCAACTCAAATGAGCTCCCTGCCTCGTGGAAATACAGACGCTTCACCGTTCTCGGTTTCAAGCTGCCATGGTTCGCGTCACCACCCGTCCAGCTCGTCATTGTCTCCTTCGTCTGCTTCATGTGCCCGGGCATGTTCAATGCTCTGAACGGCATGGGTGGTGGCGGCCAACTTGACCCGACTGCCAACAACCGGGCCAACACGGCTTTGTACTCGACCTTTGCTGTTGTCGGCTTCTTTGCCGGCACCTTTACCAACAAGCTTGGCATTCGCACTGCTCTGTCTTTTGGAGGCGTCGGATACTCCATCTACGTTGCCTCGTACCTGTGTTATAACCACACTCAGAACTTGGGCTTCACCACCTTTGCCGGTGCACTCCTCGGTGTATGCGCTGGTCTGCTATGGTGCGCTCAAGGCGCCATCATGATGGTAAGTTTTTGACTGCACGAAGTGCATGTGAGACATATACTGATACCGCTGCAGTCGTACCCGCCAGAAGATTCCAAGGGTCGCTACATTTCGTGGTTCTGGATGATCTTCAACCTTGGCGCTGTTATCGGCAGTTTGGTATGTTTACTTTACTTTGAGACCCTGAGAAGTCTAGTCGTGAACTTGACGCTAACTCTACCAGATTCCGCTGGGTCAGAACATCAACACCAAGACTGCGGGCACAGTTAACGACGGCACCTACGTCGGCTTCCTTGTCCTCACGATCCTCGGTGCTGCTCTCTCATGGACCCTCGTCGACGCAAAGGACGTCATCCGCGATGATGGCTCCAAGGTCATCGTCATGAAGCACCCGTCGTGGAAGTCAGAAATCGTTGGTCTCTACCAAACCTTCTTCACCGACCCGTACATCATCCTTCTTTTCCCCATGTTCCTGGCATCCAACTGGTTCTACACCTACCACTTCACCGAGATCAACGCTGCATACTTCAATGTCCGCACCCGAGCGCTCAACGGTGTCGTCTACTACATCATGCAGATCGTTGGTGCCTACGTCTTTGGTTACGCGCTCGACATTAAGGGTGTCCGCCGAACCACTCGCGCTAAGGCTGCGTGGGGTGTGCTTTTCGCCACTATCATGATCATCTGGGGCTTTGGATACATGTTCCAGAAGACCTACGACCGCGCCTGGGCAGAGGACGAGACAAACGAGAAGAAGGATTGGTCTGACGCAGGTTACGCTGGCCCCTTTGTCCTCTACATGTTCTACGGATTCTCCGATGCTGCTTGGCAAACATCAGTCTACTGGTAAGTCCAAAACAAGCACCAACACATTAAGATCGTCGTGCTAACAAAAATCAGGTTCATGGGTGCTCTCACCAACAACAGCCGCAAGCTCGCTAACTTCGCTGGTTTCTACAAGGGCATTCAGTCCGCTGGAGGTGCAATCACATGGCGTTTGGACGATACCAAGATTCCCTTCATGACCATGTTTGCTAGCAACTGGGGACTGCTCGCAGGCAGTTTGGTTGTTGCTCTACCTGTCATTCTCTGGAAGGTTGAGGATACCGTTGCCATTGAGAAGGACATTGCTTTCACCGACGAGACAGTGGCGGAAGTCGCCCCCAAGGCGGTTGTTCACTCAACGCCTGGTGACGCCGAGAAGGTCTAGTCAGGTCTTTGCACGGTTTTCATGATTGGGACTTCATGGGTAATGACGGTGTTCTTCAGCGGTACTTGTTAGTTTATGATACCTCGGCTCGAGTTGCATTAGTGGGAATTTGGTCGATTCATTGCAGATTTAAGGAGGTTTCTATATGATACTGCAGTTCATAGACTTCGCAGTGCAGCAGATGGGTTGGCTCGACATAACGGTAGTGCTACGAACAGTAACTTACCGATGTTTCTAATGAATGAACATCTACTGTCATTATCCACATGCTCAAACTTGATTGCTGGTGCAAGGGTATGCAGTGTGGATGTGGCACAGTCACGGCGTGGACGGCGTGGTACACAACAGCCGTTTCATCTCGCTGATATCCAACGAAAGCCAACAAAGTACCGAGCGCCTGTTACCGATGAATTTGCAGGACCAGTGGAATGCGCGGGACGAGGTCAGCAACCTACGCCCCAACACGACCTGACACGTACGCGCCGCAAAGTCCCCAATCCTCCTCCGAGACAACCTTGGAATCCTTTGCCCTCTACACATCCCCCATCGTATCAAGCGCATCACGGGACTAACTCTACCGACAGCTGACAGCCCCTTCCAGACTACCAAGCCTTCCGATGCATCTGTCACCGAGCCGGACCGAGGTTGCCACTGCCTAGGACGCCTGATAATAGACCTGCTAGACCGCGACCCACGCCCTCTCCGGATACGATGTTTCAACGGGGCCTCACGAGTTTTCGAATCCACCTTCGCGGGATCGACATGCCGAGGAGAGCCACGAGGTAAGTGACGGTTACAACGGAGTCGTGCAGCAAGTGCGCTAGGTATGTGGTGTCATCTATTCCCGTGATGCTCGAGCAGCTATCATGCAGGAAGCCTAAGTGCGCTGAGTAAGCGCTACATAGACTATCTTTAATGTTGAACTCTCCATTGGGGTTGAAAGTATTCAGAGACTCAACGGCCGCGAAGTTGCTAGTCAGATCTGATCGAGCCTTGGCACTAGACAGCGGGAGGCACGTGCTCTCCGCTCGTCATGCATCAAACGCCGTCTGGTCTTACTGGCTGCTCCGTTTGGAGCCCACGTGAAGCTCTGCGATGATCGCCACCGGCGCATAAAGCCTGCAATATGGTTGAATCATACCGCGGCTAAGTCGTCCACCGAAGTCCCATCGTAAACGCTTACGGCAGGATTCGCGTCCCAATGCGCTAGTGGACGTCGCCGCCCAGCAGATGTAACCGTACCGTAGCAATGGCCGCTCGTCAAACTTCTACGAGACCCCACCAACCCTCGACATGCCAGCAACGCCATGTTTCCGCATATCCATCCAGCGTGCCTGGCGCCAGCGACACGCTGTTGACTGCCGCCCACCGCCAATACATCAGGCCTTTGCGGCTTCCTTCCCTGTTTCCCTTTCCCCTTTGGCCCCCGCGATCGCCCATACGTGCTTGCCTGCCGTGCCCCAGCAGCAGGCCTCGCATACCAGTCCCCGGAGCAATACCTAACTACGTTCGCTAGTGGATACAACCTCTTTGATGTTCTGACAAGCCATACAACTATGCTTAAGAGCCTTTTGCGACATCGGTTCACTAATGCTCCCGGCCCGCGTCTAGTCTCCGTTCACTACGA